GGGCGCGGAGCCCAGCGAGGGGGCTGCGATTTCCATGTGCTGGAGTTGGGCAGAAGACCCTCTCGTGTCCTCTTGGGACGGGTCGAGGCAGGGGCCTCCTGGTGATCGCTCTGAGGGCAGGTACCTGAGGAGCGCCCCCAGTGCCACTGCCCTGCGAAGCTGTAGCGGTTAGAGGAGTGGTTCCCAAACCAAAGGGCGCAGCACTGAGCCGTCTGATCAGCTGATCAGTTTTGTCTTGCACAGGACCACGTACGGGGAAAAGCAATTGCGTAGCCGCCACACAGAAGTTTGTTTATTGGGATTGACTCAAACCGGTACTTAATCATTCTGTCTTAATTTCTTGGTGCAGCTTGACTCAGTGGGACTGGCTAACGTCAAGAGATGTCAACTCCCCCTCTCGCTGGGGCAGGCATGCCGCCTGGGGCTTTCTCAGGGACACAGGCGCAAGCAGCTAGGGAGGTAAATACAGCTTCTCTCTGTCGAATTGGCCAAGAGACTGTGCAGGACATTGTATTTCGAACCATGGAAATCTTCCAGTTACTGAGGAACATGCAGGTGAGAAGTAACTTTTTCTTTTTATGGTCCTCGACTTCCTATGTTTTTACCACTAACTACAAGTATATGTAGGTACAGTAGGTAGCTTAGGACATTTAAATAGGTAACTTGATCAAACTGCTTTGAAAAGAGGGATTGAGTGGAGAAATTAATACTACTCTTAATATATTTGCCTACTCCTGTACATTGAGTGAAGATGGAGAAAATTCAGAAATGCTGAATTGTTATTGCCCCCACAATAGATATGCTCAAAATATGCTTAATATCTGTGTTTTGCTTTATGAATAGTGAAGTCTATTTGTGTGTCAGTTATGTTTCCCTGTTTTTGTTAACATCTGGGGAGTACTATTAGAGGAATTTTCATTGATCTTTTTCCATAGTATGTTCCTCCTAGAACTTTTTGATATTTCTTTTTGTTAATTAGAGTGGACGTAATCCTTACTTGTGGCTGCTTACTGAGAAACATACAAACATTTGTTATGTTTCTCTGTTGAGAGCAGAAGATAAATAATCACTCCCATTCCCTCTGTATTTTCAGACTCTGGCAGTTTCTTCTGTAATTATCTTAGGTGTAGGTATATGTACTTATTAGAGTTTGCTACCTTTTAATTCACTTTAATTGTGTCTCTGAATTGTGACTTGGGATTGAGACATAAAGTCTTAAAGTGTAATACTTATAAGTGATAATAACAGTGTCATGCTTAAACATTTTGGAGACATTCAGTGAAAAGAGTTTCAAAGGGACTGACAATGACCAAAGTATAGAATACACGAAGCTGTTTGACAGCAGTGATTTGGCATACCAGATGAGCAGATAAAATACAGAATTTTGCTGATAAAGAAAACAGAAATTTCAGTAAATTCTGTGGGGATAGTGTGATTGTCATATTTTAAAATGTACAAAAACCCCTCTGATCTGTTTTAGTTTATTTGTTTCATGTGACGGCAACTTTCATGTAATATTTTTAACGTTTTGGTGTTTCGTTCTCTAAGTTACCAAATGGTGTTACTTATCATACTGGAACATATCAAGACAGACTGGGAAAGCTGCAGGAACATCTCCGTCAGCTATCAATACTCTTCAGAAAACTGAGACTAGTCTATGACAAATGCAATGAAAACTGTGCTGGGCTCGATCCTGTTCCCATAGAAGTAAGTATCTTCATTCATATATAAATTACAAATCAGAATAACCAGTCTCTGCTTAGCATATCATCCGTTCTCCTCAGTTGCAGGAGACTCATGAGTTTTAAGTGAGATGAATTGTTCAGTGGACTGAATTCTGTTTATTGTTTGGAGGTGGTTGAAAAATTGTGAAACTTTTACATTAACGTCAACAATTCTTACCAGTTGGGAGGGATCCCGTTTTGGAATCAAACTTCCTTTAAAATGTTAGCCTTTTTCCTCAGGTTTCTTGGTACATTCACCAATTTGTTTCCACTGGGAAAAAAAAAAGAGTCAAAATAGTCAGGGCAAGTTTTTTTTGAAGAGATTGTTATAGTGGGAAAAAGTGTGCTTTAAGCTCTCACCTGCCAGCCTGGCACCCTGAGCAACGTGCATTATGCCCTTGCTCTGGCCATCAGCCTGTGCCTCCGTGGTTCCCTCACTCAGCTACTCTTAACCTGCTGAGCTGCTCTGAAATCTGAATGTGCAGTGGTATTGGAAAAGGGAACAGCGTAAGACTTCCAGCAAGTAGGGTTGGCCAGACTTTTTCCTAATAAAAATGTGATTCTTAATAAAATCAAAATTTCATTTTTCCCGCTCGTTTCCTTCCTTTCATAGGTTAAGTTGTTCCTAATTCCTCTTAATACTCTTAAAACCTCTTCTGTGTTATGATTTGAGTTACTACAACTCTATATTAACCAGAGCTGTGAAGTTCTTTAATTACTGACCTCTGGATTCTGAGGCAACTCTATTAACAGAGCCTTGATTGTCCATTGAGTTTTAATCATTTAAGCATTGTATTTTATATTTGAATCTCTTCACTGCATAGGAATAAAGAAATGAAGGAGTCCATTCCAGGTTACTAATCTACTTCTGTCAGCAGTCGCTGCCATGTGTTTTAGAGAAAGGTATTCAGAAAACTTAGAGCAAGCAAGAGACTGAGAGAACTTCCAAATTGAAAAAGTAAAAATTTTCATGATTTCTTGGCTTGAGCGTGATAGCTCAATACTTGTGTCCCCTTTAAAAGCTTTTGACGTGTCTCATTTTCACATATGATTGGGAGGAGGTGGGACTGGTCTTTCTTTTTTTTTCCTTTCATATTTTTCCTGTTACCAGGATGAAAAAGAATCTCCATAGAGAAAATGAGTAGTCCCTTTAAGCTTTTTTAATGCAAGATCTCACTGACACCTTATGCGCAGCAGAGTTTTGTATTGATAGTTGGAATTCTTTTTTCTTTTACCTACTTAGTCTTTCCTGCTCTGAAGTCAGTAGAATGCCTGCCTCATGTTTCGTTGTCAGGGTGAAGGAGTGGCACACTGTTCCTCTCAGATCAGTTTTCTTAAATTCTTATTTCAGCTTTTCAATAATAGTCTCAATCATGTTATTTAATGACTGACATTCTAACCGTATCTTTAAAGAATATCAACAGTATTGATACTGTTATCAATATTGATATTGATAACATATTGATATTGAATATTTTTAACAGTGAAGAGAAGTCAGTATTTACTAATATTCCTTAGTCTATTATTATTCATATATTTTTTTTCCGTTAATGTGTATTACCAGCGTAATAGGTATTCCTATCAACTGTTAACCAACATAGCAAGGTATGAGGTAATTGAGAAGCAGATCTGGCTACAAAGTTCTCTAATTGATAAAATTTCCTGCTTCATTTGTGTGTTAGGTGTAGTTCTTTGCTTTTCTTTGTTGTTTTTTTTTCTGCTAGCTTTTCTGAAAGGGGGAAGTTTTCAAAGGAAATGTTCTGCTTTGAGTGCTCATCAGAGAGAGCATTTTTTTCTAAGAGTATTTAGCAGCCACACTACTACTTCTTTATGGTATGCAAATGTAGTAAGTTGTTAACTTTTACTACATTTTCATGGCAGAGTTTAGTGTGGTAGTTTTTGTCCATTTTGATAAACTTATTAAGAATGGCCTCCAAAAATTTTTGTAGAGAAAGAAATTAAATTTTCAGCGGGTTAAATTTAAGTTTTCCATCAGAATGTTGAAGGATGCTGCTGAATGCTTTGTATCAGAAATAGTGTGGCCAGCAGGACGAGAGGAGTGATCGTCCCCCTGTACTCTGCACTGGTGAGGCTGCACTTCGAGTGCTCTGTTCAGTTTTGGGCCCCTCACTACAAGAAAGACATTGAGGTGCTGGAGTGTGTCCAGAGAAGAACAACAAAACTGGTGAAGAGTCTGGAGCACAAGTCTTAGGAGCGGCTGAGCGAACTGGGGTTGTTTAGCCTGGAGAAAAGGAGGCTGAGGGGAGACCTTATCGCTCTGTACAGCTACCTGAAAGGAGGTTGTAGCGAGGTGAGTGTTGGTCTCCTCTCCCAAATAACAAGCCACAGGATGAGAGTAAATGGCCTCAAGTTGTGTCAGGGGAGGGTTAGATTGGATATCAGGAAAAATTTCTTCACTGAAAGGTTTGTCAGGCATTGGAACAGGCTGCCCAGGGAAGTGGTTGAGTCACCATCCCTGGAGGTGTTTAAAAGACATGTAGATGTGGTGCTTGGGGACATGGTTTAGTGGTGGACTTGGCAGTGTTAGATTTAGGATTAGACTCAATGATCTTCAAGGTCTTTTCCAATCTAAACTTTCTATGATAATATTGCACACCAAACTAAGTCACAAGTTAATGTGCATGCAGTGAGCAACTTGCTCCCAGGCTTTTAAACTAATGTCATCCTGCTCATTTGCATCAATTACTAGTCTTTCATTTGTCTGTAATGTGTATGTGAACAAGGATGTAATTTTGCCATCAACTTTAGCTTTTCCCTGTTCAGGACAGAAAAATCAACAATAGACTGTAGGCTTTGTGGATATATGTTATGTATAAAATGTTACAGTTTATAATTATTTTTGAATAAGATCTTAGTAGCTTGGGAGTCTTCTGACACAGAAGCATGTATTTGCTTTGTATCTAGTATATTTACTGATTCTTTTTATTGATTTTTTTTAAGAAGGGAACATGCATTAATATTCATTTAGAAATGCTTTATCAAAGATTTTTGGCTTTGTAGAAGCTTACCAGAAAGAGAGTACACTATATGCCTGAGGAGGTCACAGAGGGAAATTCTTACAGAAAAGCTCCTATTAGGTAACTGTGGGCCTGGTCTTAAGAATAGCCAAACTAAAATAGCAAGTCATAATTAGGATATTAGCCAAGCAGCTGTGTAAAGCCAGTCATAATTATGTTTAGTATATCACTGAAATACTTTATAGTAGTGATAACTTCAGGCTTGTGATTTTTCGTAGTGTGGAATAGTAAATTTTAAAATCACAGTCTACAGAGTTCAAGAATACAAGGATTACCTGTGATAAACATCTTAAAATGTAAAGACTGGGTTCTGCTTGCAGTTGTGAAATTGCTTGGGTCTAGGCATGGTAGTATGTGGGATTGTGTCGTTTTGAAGCACTGCATTTTCCTGGAGAACTGACTGCGGTGATTGCAAGGCCTTTGGGTTTGAGGTGAACAAGTAATGCTGTCTCCACTTCCTCTTGGGAAGGTTAAACCTTTGGAGAAATGGTAGTACCTTGTGTATCTCTTGTATGTCCTGTTTTCAGTTTCTTTTTTTCTTGTTTTTTCCTGTTTTATTTTTTATTTTTCTTAGCTAATGTTTCTTGTCTTCACAGCAACTTATTCCATATGTTGAAGAAGATGGCTCCAAGCACGATGATCGTGGTGCTGCAAGTCAGCTTCGTTTTGCTACTGAAGAGAGAAGGGAGATCATGGAAGTAAATAAGGTAACATGCATAAAACTGTCACTTTGTCGTTAAAAGACTAAATTCCTAGATTGCTGTACTAAGTGCAGCATGTGTGATGACTACCATCAAACTTGGTAATAAATACTTCTTGTAACTATTTCAGAATTACCTTTTAGTAAGCAATTCTTTTTTTAGCTGTACCTCTGGCTGTAGAGTTTAGGCTTCCTGACAATTTTAACTTGTGCCTCTTTTAAAACTGTTATATATTATTCTGAATACGGTGTATTATGTTTATGCTTAACCCACTAGATATCAGCAGTACAGATTGAGCTAAAGTGCCTTACTTCTCTTCAGAACTTGCCTTAGACATTAAAAATATGGGTATTGAACATCAGATATGTAAACATTATCACAATGATGTGAATTGGTAAAGGATTTTCAGGGCTACTTTCTGTATTTTCACAGTTTGAGGATGACCATTCCTTTTGTTAAATGTAGCATTTAACGAATCTTCACACATTCAGAAAAAAATGTACCATGTATGATTCGGATGATGTTAAATTTTCAGTTTGAGTGGCAGTATGCAATTGAGTACAATTACTCACCTAAAAATAGATATGCTGTAGTAAGTACTAATATAATACTGAGATTAAAAATATGTATTTTTATGAGACCACAATTTTTAACATTGTTTCTTCGATCTGTAAAGTACAAAGACAGAATTATTTAAATATTTCTGTAGCTGTAATGTCTGTAAATGCTTGGTAAAAAGGAGGCGTAATCTACAAAAATAACTGAACAAAGGAAATGAGTAAAATATTTCTTTATGGATACAATAATTGATGGATTTTCAGTTTTTAAAATATTTCTGATATTGTAATTTGTCTTCAGCAGTCAGAGATGTACCAGATTTTTCATAATGCTTTTATTTATAAAAATGCATGCATATCGTACAGGAGAAAATGAGGGCTGCGTGAATTTAGAGAAAAGCAGTTGTCAGCTTTCCTGTTGTATTATTTCTGTTCAGTACTGATGTAGCAGGGTTGTATATATTATATTGTGGGTAATGTTGTACTGTGAATTTATGCACATTTATTTGCAATCTTTAAGTGTTAATAAGCGTAACTGTCCATATTTGCGCTGGTTTTGATAGTTTTATGACATGTTTTTGCCCTTGTTGTTGTACTTGTATGCTAATATGTTTTTAAACCTCCTTGGTGTGATCTTGTGAAAAGAATTTCATAAATGTTTATGATGAGTTCTAAACCTTAAAAAGGTTGATGATGTTACAGGACCACAGTAGCAAATTAGTAATTAAGAATGTATGCAGACATTCACTTAAATCTGGTCTGAAATCTTGTATTTACACTTAAATGGCTAGACCTAGTTTCCAGATTTTCCACAGTAAATCTTCAGAAGATAATTGAAATTTCTCTAGTATTTTTTTGGACAAATATTTACTAAATGCTGCAAAAGAAATTTAAACTTTTTTTTTCTTGAAAGTGCACTGATTTTTTTTTTTCTTTTGTCTCTCTCCAGCTGTATAAGCTCATTCATCACCACTTTCAAAGTTCAGATTTTAAAACGTTACAGAATAGGAAATGCTTTGGGTTTTTATGAATAGAAATAAAGAAATTCTTTTTTGGGAAAAAAAATCACTAGAATCAAGTTAATTGGTCTAATTTCTGACACGGGCTGCTGGGCTCACATAACCCCCTCTGATTCTTAGCTGGCATTAAGCTTTTCAATCTGCTGTAGTATGTAATATCCACCTCCAGCTCAATTTTGCTTAATTTATTTTAGCAAAATTTCAGTAATGCAAAATGTTGATGAAAATGCTGTGACAGGGAAACCAACGTGACAGATGAAGAAGCTTTTTATGTTCTTCTTCTGTCAGCTGGTTCTCCTGCTCTCACCTAGTCCTTTTTGCTGTGATAGGCAGTATCTTTTCAGTCTTGCATGTTACTGGTACCAAAAAAAGCATTACTGCAACAACCAAATGCTTTGACACTATCGAGACAGTTGAATTCTTATACCTTTCATGGATCTTTTAATTATGCCCTTCTTGCTGTGTTATTCCAGCCAGTCTGATCTTTTTAGTGGCTCCGAATTTCTGTGCAAGATGCTAACTGCCCTGCAATGCAGAGCACAACCAAAACTAGTAGGTCATATAAACCTTGTGGATCATATATTCTCACACAAAAACATCCCTCCTGCCAGGAACCGCTGACTTGAAACATAACAGCTCTGCTTTTCTACAGCAGTTTTCTGGGAAGGGGACATCCTCAGTGGAGGAGGTGGGGAGCATCACGTACTTCCTATGCTCATCACCTCATTCTTGGGGCAGAAGAACCTGTTGATGTAGTGGAGTTCCAAAATACTGCAGTAGCTTTTGATGTCGGCTTGCTCTATACTGACATCTTTTGGTCTTTATTTATTCATTTATTCTGCTATATTAGGCTTATCTTTTAGGTCAGAAAATTTAATGCCCTCATCTTGGCTAAGTACATGTCCCTTAGTTTAAAATATAGATCAGTTTACAAGGTAATGAATTTCTGTCCTAGCAATTCAGTAACAATTAGCAACTGCGGGTTTAAACAAAACCTATTAAGCTTGAAAACAAAAGGGATTTTTGCTAGCAGTTACTAGGAAGAGTGCACCATTATTATAAAAACCAAAGAAGCAAACGATTCATTGAGCACTGACTACCTCTACCTTTTGTACTAACAATTCTCTCCTGTAGTTCCCAAAAATGTTACTTATTCCTTTTATCTGTATTTGCTTTCCAGGTTTGTAAGTTGTTGATGTGGTTAACTCTTTTCTGGAATAAATAATTTACTGTTCCAGAATCAGTTTAGCATTTAGATTGGTCTACTGATACAAGTCTTGATCCAGTTTTTATTGAATATAATTACCATTTGCAATAATTGCAAGCTGCCACCAAAATTTTCTCACTTGTCTTCATATTTTTTGAGTCTGTAATGTTCTGCCTACACATTTCTTACCTTCTAAGTGTAGCATCATCTGTACCATTTTCAGGATGTCAGGCTCACCTTGGGTCCGTGGTCTTGTAGTACATTTGACAGGCTTACAAGAGAAAATAGCAAATGGCATACTGAGAATACTTCAATCTGTGTTGCTGCCTTGTCAGCAGTTTTCTTTCCTGCTTGTTTTTAGAAATGGAGCAAATACAGCTTTAGGTTTTTGGATGCTGTAGGTCTGGTTTCAAATGAAGCGCTTAGGAAAACCATCACATCATTAGTAGTCTCAACGCATTTGGGTGAAAATGAAATTATGTGAAATCATAGAATCATAGAATGGTTAGG